CATGGCTGACCCCAGCAAGCCCCGACGGGAGAAGGGGTGGGGATGGCTGCTCCCCAGACCTATGCCCAAGCCCACCGCTGTGCCCTTGGCCCCCTCACACTCGTTGTCTCTCACCACCTGCCCAGGGCTTCTCGGTGAACAGCAGCGGGGAGATGCTGAAGATGTCAGCTCCCCTGGAGCACCTCAACCTGCATGTCCGGGAGGGTGCCATCCTGCCCACCCAGGTGAGCAGCCACCCATCACCTCTCCAGGGGCTGTCTACAGCATGTGCGTTCCCACCAGCACCTCAGCTCCCAGACCCCCATCCCGGCTGCTCACAGCCCTACAGCAGCCATGTCTTTAAATCCCAGAAACCGGGGACCACCAGCGAGGTGACTCGAGGGAACCCCCTGCGCCTCATTGTAGCCTTGTCCTCGAGTGCCACTGCCTGGGGTGACCTCTTCTGGGACGATGGCGAGAGCCTGGACACCTTTGAGCAGGGCAGCTACTCCTACCTGGTGTTCAACGTCACGCAGGTGGAACGTGGTGGGGAGGGCAGGGATGGGGAGTCCCCTGGCACCTGGCCACCTTGAGCTCATGCCACCCCCTCCTGCAGAACGTCTTCACCTCCACTGTCCTTCACGCCAGCACTGAGGCCACCGAGGTTACCATTGACACACTGAGCATCTTTGGGGTGCGGGAGCCACCCAGCAAGGTCCTCCTCAACGGCCAGGAGAAGCCATTCTCCTACCTGGATAACCAAGTATGGCTGCATCTCGGGGTGCCCTGACCTGGGGGTCCCCGTCCTGAGGGTATCCATCCTTCCTCCTCCAGCCCTTGTCACAGGGTTGGTGGCCAAGGAAGTGGGTGAGGACTCTGAGGTGGCTCTCCTGCCATGTCAGGGTTCAAAGGGAGCAGAGCTCAGTCAAGCTGGGTGGGGAAAAGGATGCTCCATGTCCCCCTGACTGAGGCTGTACCCCAAAATGTCTCCTCTCCTCCTGCAGGTTCTCACCGTGAGCAACCTGGGCCTCAGCCTCAGCCAGGGCTTCTCCCTGCAGTGGCTGTGAGCGAGGGGCCATGGGGTCACCCCCACCTCGCCAAGACCACCCATCTGGGAGACACTTGATGCTCCAGCCCTCGAAGCCAGGATGCCACCACGGAGGAGGAGGAGGGGGTGGGTCCTGCCACCTGCCACCATGCAGCCCCTCTGCACATGGCCGGGGATGGGGGACACGGGGTCGGGTGGGTGCTGCGGGTCGAGGCGTGGGTGGCCGCGGTCCCTGCTGCAATAAAGGCACGTGGAGAGCTTGTCTGGGAGCGTGACGTGGGGACGGGGGT